TTTGTTTTTTTTTTTTTCTTCTCAATTCAGCAATTGCTTACATGTTCTACAAGTTACAATTGGTGATATGTTGTTAGTAAGGTTGTTTTAGACGTGGATTTGGCCAATGCAGAACTAATAAATGTACTGAATGTGATTATGCTTGTTCTTTTGTTCATTAATTATGCCTGATTTCACATTACGTCCTTCAGTTTTTTAATTGCTATTTTAAGTTGTACTTCATTTACTTAATCAGTTCCATCCAAATGCTTCTTTCAGGGCTCACCAGATGAATTCATTAATAGAAACAGGGATGCCCTTGAAAGTGAGTACGTTAGTTCAAACCTCCATAACTGGATTGATTTAGTTTTTGGATACAAGCAGCGTGGAAAACCAGCTGTTGAGGTATAGTTTTTCTTCCCGTGGACTTAACAAGGACTCTGATAATTGTGATTTTGGCTGATATATGAGTTACTGGTGTACAGGCTGCAAATATCTTTTATTATTTAACATATGAAGGTTCTGTTGACTTGGATAACATGGAAGATGATTTGCAAAGATCAGCCATAGAAGACCAGATCGCTAATTTTGGTCAGACACCAATTCAAATTTTTCGGAAGAAACATCCGAGGAGAGGGCCACCAATCCCAATTGCTCATCCTCTGAGATATGCTCCTGGTTCTATCAATTTAAGTTCTGTAGTTTCAGGTGTAAACAATTCTTCTTCAGCGGTACTTTATGTCAATGCATTGGACTCGTGTATCATCACTGTGAGCCAAAACCTCACGATGTCTGTTAAGACGTGGCTGACTACCCAATTGCAATCTGGTGGGAACTTTACATTTTCTAGCTCTCAGGTACAGTTGTTAACTCATGTTGGCGAGCTTTTTTTTTTTTATTTTTTTTTTCCTTTTTTCATATATATTACTATTATATACAGTAAAACCTGAATAGGCTGATGACCTCAGGACAAATTAATCTAATAATTTTAAGATTTTTAAATTTATAGAATGATAATCTCCCTGATGCAATGTTGGCTAATAAACCTGTATAGGCCGATGACCTCAGGACATATTAATCTAATAATTTAAAGATTTTTAGCCTTATAGAATGATAATCTCCCTGATGCAATGTTGGCTAATAAACCTGTATAGGCTGATGACCTCAGGACATATTAATCTAATAATTTAAAGATGTTTAACCTTATAGAATGATAATCTCCCTGATGCAATGTTGGCTAATAAGTATTTACATTATGGCGGTAATATTAATTTATGGTGTATAATTTGTAGAGCTTTTACTCCATGTACATATACATATACTGTGTGTTGTGCATTCTAAATTTGGATTCTCGTGTAGGATCCTTTCTTTGGGATTGGTTCCGATGTACTCTCCCCTTGTAAAATTGGGAGTCCTCTTGCTGATAACTTTGAGCTTGGAGCACAATGCTTTGCCACCTTGCAAACACCATCTGAGAGCTTTCTCATCTCCTGTGGCAACTGGGAAAATAGTTTTCAGGTCATGTCCCTCAGTGATGGAAGAATGGTGCAGAGTGTCCGACATCACAAAGACGTTGTGAGCTGCGTTGCAGGTAAGAGTTCTATTCTACCAATAAAATGCAACATAATGCCAATGGTGTTGAATTTTCCCCCTAATAATCTTGGGGCATTCTTTGTGAGCCTTCAACCAAGATCTACTTGTATCCTTTGACCACTGTTTAAGGAACTGAACACCCAACACAATGAAAGTGCATTTAAAGAGCCATCAACTAATAATATTTACGATGCTTGTCTGATGAATGCCTGTCTGATGTTTGCTTGTCCCTTCCTTCACTTAAAAGGTGCATGGTTTGAATATTGAATATATTAGCAGTTATTCAGTATTCCGTTTTTGGCATTCTGAGTTGCTGTCGATGTTCCTTTTCTATCGTGTGACTTGCTAGTATTTGAATATCTTTTAACATACTCGCTAAATTTATATAATGTGCAATTATGAAGTGGACATGCCTCTGATGTTGCAAAAATGTTTTCGTAATATCTGGGAGCTCGTACTCCCCTACCACATTACGTCCTATTGAGTTCACAAAACCAGTTTCACTTAGCAATAGGTGGATTAGCAGTAATGATTAAGTTCTATTATTATTATTAATCTTGTGGTTTCAGGCTAAATTCACTATGAAAAATTGATAGCTGAGATTAGGTTGGTGGCATATTAGATCAGGAACTATACATATTAAGCAAAACTGATTGCACATTCTTCTTCTTGTCACTGTTATCCCCTCTTTGCCTTCAATTTCTTTCCACTTTCTTTAATATTGATACTAGTAGTAGTACAACATCCATGTATTATATGGGTGTTAATTAAGAAATTTCTAACTACAAAATTTTTAAAAATAAATATAGAACTAAAGGTTTTATTTTGAATTTTAAAATATATATATTAAAAAAAAACTGCAGTATTATTTTATTAAAATGACAATGATCACCTTAAAGACTCGCTCGTTATATTTATTTTAGTTGATAAATAATAATTTTATTATTTTCAAAATATGATAGGTAGATAATTTTTTTTTTTATTTTTTTTTAATTCTATATTCATAGATATTAACTCGAAAATCGTTAAAATATGATTAGTTCGTCCAGTGGCAATTTAATTAAAATCACACCAATGCATTTTAGATTCTCCCACATGTGAATTTTAATAGAATTGTCAAGTTGCAAATTTTCTGGGTGGGTTCATGAATTTGAGAAGGTATAGTTTTTGTTAAAACCTAACTAAGCTACAGTGAAGAGCAAACTGTACTCTTTACTGTATACAGCTAGAGGAGACATCCAAAAGCAAACTGCAAAAGCTGCTCAAATTAGCATAGCTGAAGAGGCATAAAGTATATGCACCTACATATATATTTCCAATTCCATTAGGCATATAAAAGACTTTTGCTTCTTCACTTGAAAGTAATAAAAAGTGAAAAGAGTCGAAATAAAAGAATTTTACTTGCCTAAGTAACTCAGCAATCTGAAGCATCATGAACAATATTTATTTACATTATGTGTGTCCATTCTATATTATCAACAATGTCTTTGGTTCTTACTACAGTTGTGCAATATTACAGTTACAGCTGATGGAAGCATTCTAGCTACAGGAAGCTATGACACCACTGTCATGGTGTGGGAAGTTCTTCGTGTTAGAAACCCCGAAAAGAGATCCCGTTCGAGAACCGAAATCCCTTGGAAGGATTTCGTAATTGGCGACACTCCATTTCACATTCTCTGCGGCCACGATGACATCATCACGTGCTTGTACGCGAGTACCGAGCTCGATCTCGTAATAAGTGGTTCGCGAGACGGGACTTGTATTTTCCATACTCTGCAGGAAGGTAGATATGTGAGGTCACTTCAGCATCCTAGTGGCAGACCACTGTCAAAGCTTATAGCTTCGCGTCATGGAAGGATTGTACTATATGCGGACGATCTTAGTTTGCATCTCTATTCTATAAATGGAAGGCACATATCAACTGTCGAATCAAATGGTCGGCTGAGCTGCCTTGAGCTGAGTAGTTGTGGGGATTTTCTAGTTTGTGCTGGGGACCAAGGCCAGATTGTGTTGCGCTCTATGAATTCGCTCGAAACCCTTATGAAGTACGCTGGAGCTGGAAAGTCGATTAGTTCGCTGACTGTGACGCCTGAAGAATGTTTTATAGGCGGGACTAAAGATGGCAGCCTTCTGGTGTACTCCATTGAGAATCCTCAGCTTCGTAGAACTGGCGTTCAAAGGCATTCCTGAAAGAGAGCGCTATAGTTAATGGAACGTCCATCCTACTGTGGGAGGGTAAGTTGATAGCTTTTTGAGCAATTAAATTACATATTTGTGTTCAAAAAGTGTAGTTTTAATTGCACCATGTTTCACCACATCTGCAAAACTTCGGCTAGCTTTAGGGTTTTGTCTGAAGATTGAGATTGACCATGATAATAAGATATGATGTATATGTATGCAATGTAATAACATACTCTTCTCAAGAGTGTTAGTGTAAGACTTATATTTAGCATTTAAATGCCAAACACGAATAGGAGTCTTGGTGGGTTCGGATGAGCTTAAATTACCCTTTACTGGAAGATTAATATTTTATGCTATTTTTAGCAGAACACGTAGCAAAGGAATCAGATCATACTGCTTGATAGTTGCCTATTTAGAATGGTTTTTGAGTTTAGGAGATGGAAGTGGTGTTCTACATTTGATCTGCTTGCTAATATTACTACTTTGTCAATAAGTACCCTTATTGGTTGTGCTGAGTCTTCT